ACATTGAGGCTAATCAGTATTGTGCTCCTGCAGGAATGTTTTCCCAGTCAAAAGCTAAGAGGAACTACAGTAGAAAGGAAGCCTTTTTGTCTCATGTCTTTTGTGCAGTCTCATGACTGTACATTGGGGTGGGCAAGTTCTAGGAACTCAAGCTCCAATTTTCTGCTCTGGGAAACACTACATGTCATGGCAGTCCCCAAGCTACACCAGGATGTTTATGGAATAAATAAATAAATAAATAAATAAGGTGGTTTGGGCCAACATAAGACACTGTGAGAGTTGTATCTTGCTTATAAGAATAATTTTATCTCTTAAATATTTCCACAAGTAATCTCCTTCTCCTCTTCCTCCTTCTCCTGGTTAAAATTTGTATTGGTAGGGGTCCAAGGGCTACAAAAACGGTTGGTGGCTATATGAAAGCCATGGATCATGTATTTCCCACCTCAGTGTACACATTGTAGTGCCTCTTTGGTTATTATCTTTCATATTTTCTCCAATATCCCTAGGCTATGATCTAGCCACTTTTTTAAAATTCAGGATAATCCAGTTATGTGACACTTGTACATAATGCATAGATGGATATATGAGCATTCCTGAAGAAGATGGTATACAAGTCATGGTATACCAATGAAACAATCCTAAAATGTGGCCCTTTGTGGAATACTCTTGTCTATATTTAGCCAGCTCTTTATATTTGTTTAGTGGTCTGTAATTCCAGAATGAGAGAACTGTCAATTTTCTAAAGCACCAGAAATGATAAAGTCAACAAAAGCTTAATAAATACAGGGTGGATCCCCAGTTTGCCATGACTAATTTAAGTTCCTTTGATTTCAGTGGATCTCTCCTAAGTATTACAAATGTTTAATTTCAACCCATTATAAATTTTAGTAACCCTTAGTTCAGACCTGTGAGCATGTCACTTATATCTGTTTTAAAGATGGAGACTTACATTTGATAGTGTCTTTCAGATTAGAATAGACTTACTGATAAAACTCCTTCTTAAACAAATACAACATTTTTAATATGTGTGTGTGTGTGTGTGTGTGTGTGTGTGTGAAAATAGTTTCTTTATGATTTCATTCTCATTTTTTTTTTTAAAAAAAGGAAATGTTTAATTTAAGCAGAGGTTGTGGCCTTACAATAACATTGAAGATTTTAATCACACTCAATTTCCATACATATCGTGGGTGGTGCACTTTTGGCCATCCAGATGTTTTTGGATTTCATTTCCCCACCCAGAACGGCCAACAATAAGGTTTGAATTGTAACCCAGTTATATCTGGAGAGCCACAGGTTCTCTTTCCCTGATATAGATTAAATGTATTTTTGTTTTGACTGTCAGGATGTTGGCTCTCAAAGGTAATTTTTCTATTCTGAGTCAGCTCTTGGGGAAATAAAGCTCTCAAGCAAAAGCCAGCAAGCCAAAGTATAATTAACTACTACTCCTGGGAATTTCTATAGTAGTGTGTTACAAGCATTTGAAAAATATACACCTTCTAAGGCAGGGAAATTCTGTCAAACAGTTAATCTGATGGGTATTCCCAAGACTGGAACAACAAAACACCTCTTGGGAGGAAAAATCCTTTTGACTCTGTGCATCATTGTTCCCTTTTCACCTACAAACAAGATTCTGAAGACAGTACAAAGCTGCACAAATAGGCTGTAAAATTTGGCAAGTTGAATTTCCTGAAATATAGATGAAATTTGACTTTATTGCTTTAGTAGGGGAAGTGACGGTGAGAAAAAAAGGCAAAGTACCATTGGGGCTAAGGAATACATTCCACAGACATCTAGGAGTGGGTGAGAATATAGCTTCATATTCTACATGGAAAGAACTTGAGATTTTAAAAAAAATAATAAAATAAAAAATATCAATGGTTAGAAAACCCCAGGCAGACAGATTTCTGTTTAAATGTTCAAAGTTTCACTGTCTGGGTCTGAATTGCATATTCAAACAGGTTATTGCTACATTATGGATACCACCTCATCTTGAGCCTTTTTATCTTGGGAATAGTTCTATCAACTAAATTTGCTTCATGCAAATGGGGAATAATTTTGCTTGAACCTATTCTTGATAAAGTTAGCAAAAATTGCAAACTTCCTTCCCATGTGGTTAAGTTTGCCAGGTGTCCCTTTATTATAAGGTATGTCCTTGACTTGAGGACCAGAAAGCTAGTCCCTTATGGGGCTGGCAGGTTTCCCTTATAAATAATAATAATAATAATAATAATAATAATAATAATAATAATAATTAAAAAAAATATTTTTAACTCGCCCCTCTGCTCGGCAACTGGGGCGGCGTACAACAAGATTTAAACAGATAACAGTTCAAACACTCCTTCAATCCCTAACCCTCCCCCCCCCCATGGGCCCTATTTGAAAGTTGAGATGGGCCTATTTGAAGATTGAAAAGCTTTTCTTTTTATATAGTATGTATGAGATGCCAAAAATGTCTCTGTTTTGGGATATGGGTCCTTCATAAAGACAGAAATACATGTACCATTTAATTTATGAATGTAGACAATATATTAATTTGCAGAGAATTGTGTGGCTAGATTAATCAAAATCAATACTTCCATTTGGTATTTAGTTCTGCCTCTTGGTTGTCAACCATACATGTCATGAGTTTCAACTATCACTTATTGCTGGGACAAAAAAGTTGCATTAAAAATGCAAATGAAGGGAAAAGTGAAATGAATAGGCTTTCCCATGGCCACAGAAGATACAAATGAATGCCTCTTATTTTTTAAAAAAAAAAAATAGTACAACAAATAGAAGCAATGTATCTTCCTGATTTGATAATGTAGCACTATCACTATTCAAATATGTAAATATAATAGATGTCAATGCTGTCTTTGAAAGATGTAGATGTGAAGGTAAAGATCATTAGGGGCATGATCAAAAAAAGAATGAGGGAAGTATTACATACTTCTACAACATAGGTGAATATCATCTGAGAAATGAGATGTGTAAAAGAAAAAGCTTGCAGAGCAAGGCTTTAATAAATTTCAAATCACAGTTAATGTAAATTTGGACTGTTTGGACACCAATGTTTTACCTTTGTATATACCATCCATCAATCCCTTTTTCTTATACCTTGTCTATTTCCAAGATGGAGACTTGAGGTGATTTATGAAAGAGATAAAATTACAATAAAAACAGAAATGATTTAAAAAGGTGGATATTAAAACACTATTTAAACTAACAAAATTAGAACCATGTAATAGTGTGTGTGTGTGTGTGTGTTTGTGTTTGGCCCTTCAAGTAGCCTGTTGACCTATGATGACTGCATGAATATCATAGGGTTTTCTTAGGCAAGGGATACTCAGAGGTAAATTTGCCAGTTCCTTCCTCTGAAATATACCGTACCTATAGAACCTGTAGTATCACATCCAAGTACTTGTTGGTAGTATCACATCCAAATACTAACCAGGGCTGATTCATACGTTTATTTCGTGGCAGTTGCAGGAACAGGAACTGAAAGGCATAAAATGGGGTGAGAATGCATGTTACCGCACAGGAGAATGCTGCTGATGCCGCCAGGAGTCCCCAAGCCGTTCCCCATCCATGCTGTGGCAGTTGATTTTAAAGAATGATTTTGATCCATTCTTCAAAGTCAGCTGCCAGAAATGGTTGGGCAACAGCTTGGGGACTCCCAGCGGCAACGGTGGCATTCTCCTGTGTGGTAACATGCATTCCAGCCCTATTCCATTTCATTCCATTTCCATTCCTGCAAGTACCATGAGATAAACTTATCAGTTTCTATTGAAAACAATAATAATAATCAGTTCCCAGAGGCATGCAGGAATAAAAGGCCTTTACCTGCTACCAAAAAGATAGCAAAGAAACATCCATCAGCCACACCAGGAAAAGAGTTGCAATGTCTTGGAGTAGCTATGGAGAAGGCCCTTTGTTGCCTTCCCACCAAATGTGCCTGTGAAGGTGATGGGATATAGAGAAGGGCTGGGGAACATTTTCCCCCTATTCAACGTCACAGTATTTTTTTTTTATTTAAATAATTTATATTCCACCTCTTTCCCAACATGGGACCCAAGATGGCTTAAACACAAATTAAGACATCAAACAACCAAAACAGTTTAGTACATTTAGTACAACACAAAATAGTACATTTATAGTGTTTTAAAAACTTTAATAAGTAATCCCTTTTGAGAAAAATAATTTAAAACAGTTTAAAGCATTTCAAATATAATAACACAGATTAAAAAGACAGGACCCCTATTAAAATATCCTTCTGCAACAGGTAATTAAAAGCCACAGTCTCACCTGAATAAAAAGTTCTTTGCCTTCTGAAAGAAAGAGAGCAAAGCAGGGGCCCAACCTAGTCTCCTGTGGGAGTGCATTCCACAGCCTGGGAGCACCCACCAAGAAGGGCCTCTCACTTGTTCTCACAAACATCTTTGTCAGAGTGGCGGATCTGAAATGAAGCTATCTCCATAGGATCATAAAACTTGGATAAGATCATATAGGGAGATAGCTTGGACCTAACCCTTAGCAAACATTAAAGCCACTTGGATCTAAGGTAGGACCCAGGATACTGTGAAACTAAGCACTGATATAAACCAGAAAACTGAAGCTCCTGGCCCTTAAAAATGACCTCAATAACAGTGGCTCCTCAAGGCAGTTTAACAGAGAGACTGAATGTGGATTTCTTAGTGATGAACATAGTGAAATATTTCATTGCATTTAGCCATAGACCACTGAAAAATGTTAGAACATCACTTTTCTTAGTTTGTACACAAAATTGACAAGTGCATGCTGAATAGATTCTCACATTGTTCTACCAGCAGAAATGTGATGAGAATGATCTGAGGTCATAATCAAGGAATTGTGGCTGTTGTGTGCCTTCAAGTCATCTCTGACATATGGCAAACCTAAGGTGAACCTATTATGGGGTTTTCTTGGGAAGATTTGTTCAGAAGGAGTTTGCCTTTGCCTGCCTCTGAGGTTGAGAGAGTGTGACTTGCTGAGTGGGTTTCTATAGCCAAACGGGGATTTGAACCTGATCTGTAGAGTTGTAGTCCAACACTCAAACCATGAAGCCATGCTGGCTCTCTAAATTAAGGAATAGGCATTCAGTTATATTACTTACACCTTTCTCTATGGAGACAGAACCTGTTGGCTTGGGATACGAATAATATGTTGAAGTGATCTGAAACTATACATTTTTTAGAATGTGCCCTACAAGAACTTGCCATGTTTGCTGGTACAGTGTAATAGTACCTCTGTCAAGTGCTATTATTTTTAGTTTTGTCACACTATTTTACTTCTATTTTCAGATCTATGTTTTACAACAGGATTCACTCAGAATTACCATAGAATCTCCACTCAATTAAGATTAGAGTTGTCATATCCTCAGTTTGCCTGGGTTTTGTCCAGATGCTAGGCATGATTCATATTGTTCATTTGGACCATTATCTGGCCTGGATCCCAAGCTTCTTTTTTAAAATAAATAAATAAATAAATGTCTAGCCTTTTAGGGGCTGGGATATGAGGCAAAGTGTGAGACTCTCTTTTGTGAAATTGTTCTGCAACAAATAAATCCACTCTGCCTTTCAGGTGCAAGAAAAGGGAGAGAGTATAAGTTATGAAGGCAGAGGAGAGGTATATGAGTTGTGGTGAGAGAGGATGTAATAGGAAAGGAAATGTCAGTGGTGCCAGTAGCTGTGTGCAAGGACTTTATCACACGGGATTTCACTGGAAAAGTGGGTAGATTTTCAGACGATGTCACTTTTAAACTGTGCTTAACCTGAATGGAAAGTAGTCAAAAGCCTCTTCTTTTTACTTTTGGAAAGTCCTGAAAGCAGCTTTCGACTACTTTCTGTTTGGGTTAAGCACAGTTTAACATCAATGTATGTGAAAATCTACCTGCTTTTGTGGGTTTTCCCCACCTTTTAAATCCCGTTTCTGCACGGCATTCTCCCCATGTGATAAGGTCCTAAAAAGCAATAGAGGAGTGCACCATTAGGGTGTGAGGTGAGAAGAGGTGAGGGTCAAAGAGAAGTAAGCTGTGGTATTTTAATTATAATTATTATTATAATAATAATAATTTCTATCCCGCCCCTCTGCAGATGCAACCAGGACGGCTTACAGCATTAAAATACAATAAAAATACAATACAGATCCCACCGACCCACCACCCCTTAAAATAGTATTAAACAATAGAAGCATCAAAAACACACTTAAAAATAATCACAGAACATCAGATAACATAAAATAATGGTACAATAGATGTGGCAAAAAAAAAATGGGAGAGAAAGATAAATTAACTCTTGGGGCCAGGAAGGGAAAGAGGCATCACAAGTGACCATATTATGGAAATTAGGTACCAAGATTTGAGGAAGCAGAATATGGCAACCTTATGTATAATACAACCAAGTTTTGATCTGCACTGCAGAAATAATGCAGTTTGACACCATTTTAACTGCCATTGCTCAATTCTATGGAATTCTTGGAATTGTAGTTCTGTGAGATATTTAGCCTTCTCTGTCAAAGAGCTCTGGTGCCACAACAAACTGTATGTTCCACAAATTCCATAGGATGGAGCCATGGCAGTTAAAGCAATATCAAACTGTATTATTTCTGCAGTGCAGATTAGACCCTAGAAGGAGAAAAATTTGATGATGGAAAGTCAAAGAGCTGCATCTTACTTGAGAAGTTAAAGGCTTTGGTTAAGATGGCTTTGGAGGGAGAGTTGGTGCAGGTAGAGACTACACTTCTTGCTGGCCATAAAGCAGCTGAGGGTGCAAATAGTCAAAGCAAATCTATACATCCCCCCCTCCAAAAATAAATTTTAACATTTGTGCTTGCATAACATGCTTTGTGCCTTTTGGTTGGCCTAATAAAGCACTCACCTTACTGTCTATTTTGGATTTTATTACATTTTGCAGTTTAGCCTGCACAGCTACTCCTGGATAAAACCAAGAAGGGATGAGACTTCCTGGTGAGGTGATTCCAGGGATTTGAGTTGAAATACATGTGACATTTGAAAGCAGCCGTAGGCCTTCTTTACACTTCAGCACCTGAGGGAGAAAGCTGTAGACATCTGCCCTATTCCAGTGCAGCTTGATTATGAGGAGAGCAGAGGAGAGATGGAATGATGGTTTACTACAGGCATATCTGTACATGATTTATATATATGAAACTATACAGTTCTCAATGAACCTTCATATGGGGTAAACACATTGTATGGTTTTAACACTTTCTAGAATGTTCACATCTTCTGTGTAATAGGGTTCTTGTTCTCAAGAACATTTCCTCCTAAAAGTCTTTGCCTGTTCTATCTTTTTCACCATTTTCTTTGCACATAAGCAGCATTTTTCAAAAAGATCTGCTGACAGCCGCCTGTCCTAATGAAAAGCTAATAATGCCCAAGGAGGTTTCTTTTCTTTCTTTTTTTGAATTCTGTTACTTTCACAAGCATAAATATAATATTTTGTTATTGTCTTAAAATTCTCAATTATTTCACTGCTCTTTTTTGCATTTAAAACACTACATGATGTATTTTATTTCCAAATAGTCTTTTTCAGTGTGCAGATTAAAAACTGCAGTGTGTTAATTCTATGGTTCTGCTGTTAATTTGCTATTAAGCTACAAGGAGGTTTTTTCCTACCTTATGTTGCTTTTAAAAATATTAATTTAAGAACAGAAGCAACAGGGTTGAATATTTATTGTTTTTGTTAGGTTTAAATGGGATGTAGAGTCAATGTTAAAATGTTGAAATGTAAAAGAT